CAAGATAGAAAAAAATCAATCAGAGATCCAAAAAGAAAAAAACAATTAAAAAGCAGGACAGTCTAAGGGAGATGTGGGACAACATGAAACGCAACAATATTTGCATCATAGGAATGCCAGAAGAGGTCGAAAGTAAGCAAGGGATGGAAAACCTGTTTAAAGAAATAATGGCAGAAAACTTCCCTAATCTGGTGAAAGGAAAAGTCACACAAGTTCAGGAGGCACAGAGATTCCCAAGCAAGAAGAATCCAAAAACGCCCACACCCAGACACATCATAATTAAAATGCCAAAAATTCAAGACAAAGAGAGAATCTTAAAGGCAGCAAGACAAAAGCAATCTGTTACCTACAATGGAGTTCCTATAACGTCGTAGGCTGACTTTTCATCAGAAACTACAGGCCAGAAGGGAATGGCATGAANCTGTCTCTTATACACATCTAGATGTGTATAAGAGACAGCTACTCTATCCAGCAAGGCTATCATTCAAAATAGAGGGTGAAATAAAGAGCTTCCCAGACAAAAAAAAAAAAGGCTAAAGGAGTTTATCACCACCAAACCAGCATTGCAGAAAATGTTAAAGGGACTGCTGCAATAATAATAAGAAATAGAGAAACTTAGGCATAAAGAATTAAAATCACAATAAATAAGGACCTATCAGTAATAACCTTAAGGACTTTAAGGGAGAGATCGACACAGTCATAGTCATGGACTTTAACACCCCACTGACTTCCCTGGATAGATCTTCTAGACAAAAAGTCAACACGGACACAGTGATTCTAAATGGCACATTAGATCAGTGGCGCGGCTGTGAAACCTCGCCCATGTGTTAATTCTACCAGGGTCCAGTCTGTGCCACCTGCTCAGCATGCTCAGCACTCTCCCTGGGTTTTTCTGGGCCTTTCATGGCTCCTGATGCACAGGTGCTTGGGCAGAGCCTCAGCATGTGTCTGCTTGCCAGTGAGTGTGGGTCTTCTGTCGGGATAGACACACTTGGGCCCTTGGCTTTGAGGTATACGTGACAGGAGGGGGGCAGGAAGTGATGAGCAGGTGCCAAGGACACCAGCTCCTATTGCTCTGGTCCCCAGAAAGAAGGATATGTGATGTGGCAGGAAAGAGTGGCAGCTGTGAGAGCTAGGGTGAAAAGGCAATGGGGGGTTCCCCCCCAGATGACTAATTTACCAAAAGCTTAGGATAGAGACAAAGGAGGATAATGACACAGGCTGCTAGTGCTAAGTGAGGAGGTGGTGGTGGGGGGGAGCAGAGGGAGAGGGAGAAAAGACAATCTGGAGGAGAAGAGGGTTCAATACAGGGTCATACACCCCACCGCCACCAAACCTTACCCCTCACCCACACAATCCATTCATACCCAGACCCCCACACCCCTACTCACACCCACCCAATCCATAAACAACCACCCCTGCACACACTCTACCCACACACCTACCCCTAGGCCTCCACACCTCAGCCAAAACCCCACCTACATCCCCACTGCCACCCCACACCCTTATTCCTACCCCTACCGACCCCCACTCACCCTCTGCCCCACTCTCATCCATACCCCACACGGGTACCCATCTCCCATACTGACCCCCAGCCCCTACTACATAAAGCAAGGAGGGGGCTTCTCCCAGGTCCCCGACTGAGCCCACTCCCCATTCCCTGAACCCCCAGCCCCATGCTGCCCCCCACCAAGCCTGAGATGCTGCGGCTCCTCAGGGCTGTTCTGCGGAAACTCAGGAACTCTGAACTCTGAAGGCATGTACGTGTTGGTTTTCTATATTTTTCAAATGTTCTATAATGAACCTGTTTCACAATTAGACAAAATTAAAACAATCTTTTCTGACCATGGAATGCTTAGAGAGGGGGGAGACATACAAACAGAAATTATCTATAAGGACATAATCATGTAGCAGAAAGGGAATTACTCAGAGGAGCCGTGGCTGGCCGGGGGTCCCTGTACTCCGTGCTTTCGTAAGACAGCCTGCCTTCCTGGCATGACATCCAGGGGCTGGCTGGTCTGTCACTTTGCAGCTGAGAAGACATGTTGCAGCTGGATTGGGCATCTCTATGAAGAACCCCATCCCCCTGAAACATCCAGGGAGGAAGGTGGCACTTAGTGTGAGAATAAGATGGGACAGCACAGGCAAGCTGAAAAGGGCTCTCATTTGCCACAGCTGCCTGTGCCCATGTGCCTTTGCCCAAGTGGGGGGCTTCCTCTCATCTTTGTAGGAGCTCTGTTCATGGGTGCACACTGCGTCCCCAGAACCTGCACTCTCCATGATGACTGCCAAGGACTTTGCTTCCACCTGCAAACCAGCTTCCCTATCTCTGGCCCCCTCTCCCATCCCCTGATGCAGGGCAGGTGGCACCTACCTGCTCAGGGAGCCTCCCTTACCCCCCTTCCTAGGCTGGCCCTGTGCTTCCATAGCACCCTCTAAAGGCCTGTCTTAACACTTACCTGCTGGGTACAGCCATTTGGGGTGTCACTGATAGTGTGTGGCCTCCCCAGGCCCTTCCACAAGCTGCTGAGCCAATTGAAGACTCTGCCATCCCCCTGCTCCAGGAACTGCTTTCTGATTCTCCCTCACTGGCCCCATGACAGATTCTGGCTGTGTTTGTTTGGTCATTAGTCTTGCCTCCCTGCCAAGGAGGGCCTTGAGGTTGCAGTGTGTGCTGTGGGGTTCGCCAGCTGGAAAGTGATCATCCTAGAGCCCAAGGAACACTGGCTACTGCAGAAATTAAGGGCTGGGCCTTCTGCCTCCAGTTGCCCTGAGGGCCACTTGCTCCACCCAGCGGAGACCCTGCCCTGGATCTCTGCCCAGAAGGCCCTCCACTCTCCAGCCAATATCAGCCTGCTTTTTCTTTGAGCCTACTCCAGCTCCACCTTCTTGGCCCCCAGCCTGCTAAATGGCCTCCTCCTCCTCTGCCCACCCCCTCTGACTACTGGCCTGGATCATGACCTTGACTCACTCCCTTTGTCTTGTTGAGCCTTGCTTTCCTCATCTGCCAATATAGATTGTTGGGGTCAGAATTGGGCACATCAGGCACGCAAGAAACAGCAGTGGTTGTATAAGGGCCACTTCCTTGGCCTTAGGCTGCCTTGTGATGCTAGAGGCTCTGTGCATGTTGGCCTTTTCTGTTTGGTGAATCCCTCACTACCTTGAGGACAGAGATCCTGTCCTTTGTGTCTTTCTTACTCTTCCCCGACTCTCCTGCCCGAACCCATTTGTTGACTGACACCCATCGGGAGCCGAATCAAGGTCTTCCTCTCACACAATAGATGCTCAGTTATTGTCAAGGGAAACTCCGAAATCTTTCAGATACTAGCTCTGGCCTCAGTGTTGCCTGAAGATGCAGGGCTGGAGTGAGGGGGACAGGAGTGGATGACTTCTGGAGGAGGGCCGAAGGATGTTCTAGTGTGAGAGCAGAGCCCCCAGACCCAGTGCATAGTCACTGGGGTTCCCAGGCCTCTGGGGCATGGCCAAGCATTCCCCAGACAGCACTGTATGGTGATAGGGCTGAGAAGTGGGGTTCACCTGGGAATGAGAGCTCTTAAGCAGGGCCAAGGGTGGAGAGCAGATTTCTTGGCTGAGCAGATTGGGGCACTGGTCAGTGGGTTCTCATGGGGGCATGTCTCTGCTGCAGGTGAACGGGAAGGAGCTCTCCAAGCTGTCTCAGGAGCAAACCCTGGAGGCCCTGCGCTCCTCCAAGGAGCCCCTGGTGATCCAGGTGTTGAGATGCAGCCCCCGCCTCCGGGGGGACAGCTCCTGTCATGACCTGCAGCTGGTGGACAGTGGCACTCAGACTGACATCACCTTCGAGCATATCATGGCACTGGGCAAGCTGCG